AAACAAGCAGCACAATTCTGTGGTTGGAATTCCTTATATAGAAAAGAAATTTATGGCTAAATCCTTAAAGAAGAAGGAATCTTACTCCAATAAGGAGTTGGAGATTCTCTTTGAGTTCTATTCAAACAAGGAGATAGCAATTTTGTTTATTCCCTCCTAAGTTAGGAATCCTATTGCATTAAGGAATAGTCAAGTCAATTCCTACTAGCAAGTGCTTGAACTGATCTCTTTGTTTTAATTTGTTTAGGTTTGGTTCTTTTATTGGTTTTCTTGTTCGTTCCTTTGTGTCTTTTTATTTCCTTTAACTCTTGCAGATTTGTTGGCGTTAGATTGCTGCAAAATAACTTGAATTGAACTTGTTTAGTTCAATAACGAACTGAAAAAGGAAAGTTGAGTGAGAGAAAAAGGCAAGAGGTGTGAGCAACACTTGAGAGAAAAGTCAAGTTCTACAGTGTGTAAAACACGAGCTTTGAGTGCCATTTTGTGAGAGAGTGGAGTGAAACACGTAAGGGAGTGTTGTGAGGTCCTTTTATTCTTCTGTTTCTAACATTTGTTGCAGGTTTCAATCATGTCAAGCGATGATGACAAATCAACCAGTAGAAGCCACCATGTGGATGAATCTTTCATGCTCAAAGCAATGCAACAACAATTTTAGAGGCTGGACATCATGTTTGGTGAGATTAAAGACAAAATGGAGAAGCAAGATGCAGCGATAGCCAAGTTATACCAAACACAGAATGGATGTCTGAATTTGCGTAGGAATGATGCTAATGATGATTTTGATGACGATTATAAAGATGCATTCAACAATGATGCCCAAAACTCAAATTTCAACATGGACAGAATTATGAGAGGTAGAGGCGGCCAAAGAGAGCAAAATCTGACAAGGTGGAGAGATAAGCAAGATCGTGACTTAGGTAGCATCAAGATGAAGATTCCTCCATTTCAAGGCAAAAATGATTCAGATATGTATTTGGAGTGGGGAAAGAAGGTGGAATTGGTGTTTGATTGCCATAACTATTCTTATGAGAAAAAAGTTAAACTAGCAATGGTGGAATTTACTGATTACGTTGTGGTATGGTGGGATCAACATGTGCTTAGTCGACGTAGAAATCGAGAGCATCCTATTGACACTTGGGAAGAAATGAAAGCTGTGATGAGAAAATGATTTGTTCCTAGTCACTACTACTGCGATCTCTATCAACGATTGCAGGGCTTTACTTAAGGGTCCAAAAGCGTTGAGGATTATCACAAAGAGATGGAAATCGCAATGGTTAGAGCGAATGTGGAAGAGGATAGAGAAGCAACTACGGCACGGTTTCTGCATGGCTTAAATTGTGATATAGCTAATGTGATAAAGCTACAACATTATGTGGAATTAGAAGATATGGTGCATATGGTGATGAAAGTAGAACGGCAACTCAAGCGTAAAAGAGCCACTAATAGAACTGGACAAAATTCAGGTTCCTCATCTTCTTGGAAACTAAATTGGAGAAAAAAGGAAGAAAATTCTGCTTTTAAGCATAAAACTATAGCATCCAAGTCAAAAGAAGTTGGCAACAATGAGAAGAGTAAAATAGATAACACGCAAGGCAGAAACCGAGACATCAAGTATTTTTGATGCTTGGGAAAAGGGCATGTTGCATCGTAATGTCCTAATAAGCACATGATGATCTTGAGAGAAGATGGAGAAATTGAAATCAAGGGTGAATCTGATGATGAATCTATGCCACCATTGGAAGATGCTAATGATGGTGTGGAATGCCGTTGATGGAGAACTGCTTGTCATTAGGCGAGCTTTGAATGTGCAAGCCAAAGAAGATGATGAAGTACAATGTGACAATATATTTCACATGAGGTGCCATGTCAAAAACAAGGTATGTAGTGTGATTATTGATGGTGGTAGTTGTACTAATGTAGCTAGCATTGTTTTAGTTGAAAAGCTTAATTTACCTATGACAAAGCATCCAAGACCATATAAGCTGCAATGGTTAAATGATTGTGGAGAAATCAAGGTAAATAAGCAAGTTTTGGTTTCATTCTCTGTTGGACGATATAAGGATGAGGTACGTTGTGACTTGGTTCCTATGCATGCTGAACATTTACTTTTAGGGAGACCATGGCAATATGATAGGAGGGTAACACATGATGGCTTCAAAAATCGCTATTCATTTGTCATAGAAGGGAAAACAATTACTCTTGCACCATTGAGTCCAAGGCAGGTTTACGAGGATCAACTGAGAGTAAAAAATGAGAGTGAGCTGAGAAATGAGAATGAGCTTAAGGGTATGAAAAACAAAGAGAAAGCAACAGAAAAAGAGTCCAAAAAGAGAGGAAAGATTGAGAGTGTTGAAAACAAAGAGAGAAAATCAGTGAGTGTTTATGCAAAAGAAAGTGATGTCAAGGCTGTGTTCTTTGCAAAGCAGCTTATGTTTGTGCTGTTGTATAAAGATGCTTATTTCAACACTAATGAACTTAATGATTCTTTGCCTAGTGTGGCTAAATCTCTTTTGTAGGACTTCAAGGACATGTTTCCAGAGGACATCTCTAATGGTTTACTACCAATAAGAGGAATTGAGCATCAGATTGACTTTATTCCAAGTGCAACAATTCCAAACCAACCAGCATATCGAAGCAACCCCAATAAGACGAAAGAACTTCAAAAGTAGGTTGAAGAACTCATGAAAAAGGGGCAAATGAGAGAAAGCATGAGTCCATGTGCAGTTCCAGTGCTACTTGTGCCTAAGAAGGATGGGACTTGGCGTATGTGCATTGATTGTTGCGCTGTCAACAAAATCACTGCAAAGTATCATCACCCTATTCCTAGATTAGATGACATGTTAGATGAACTGCATGGTTCTTGCATATTCACTAAAATTGATTTAAAAAGTGGGTATCATCCGATTAGGATGAAGGAAGGTAATGAATGGAAAACAGCCTTTAAAACGAAACATGGTTTATATGAGTGGTTAGTTATGCCATTTGGATTAACTAATGCACCTAGTACATTCATGCGATTAATGAATCATGTTTTGTGTGCTTTCATTGTCAAATTTGTGGTTGTTTATTTTGATGACATGTTAATATATAATAAGTTTAATTGATCATATTGAGCATCTATGAATGGTATTAGAGGTTTTGAGAAAAGAAAACTTGTTTGCTAACCTTAAAAAGTGTTCCTTTTGCACAAATCAGATTGTCTTTTTAGGGTATGTTGTTTCAGCCAATGTTTTTGGACCTGGCTCGGCCTTGCCGATTGAACCGATTCAATTGGACCTAGACTTGAAAACGGGCTGGTTGAAGACTTCAACCCGTTTAAGTAAATGCCCTGTTGAAACCCGTCACGCCCGTTAAACTCGTGCAACCCACTACAATCGACCGAGCTGAAATTTTCATCATCTTCTCATCCGTCGATCATCCGTCAATCTTCTCATCCGTCGATCATCCGTCAATCTTCTCTTCCGTTAATCGTCCGCTTATCTTCTCGTCCGTCGATCGTCCATTGATCTTCTCTTCTACCAATCATCCACCAATCTTCTCTTTCATTGATCGTCCATCGATCTTCTCTTTCGTTGATCTTCTCCTCCGTCGCTGCACTTCTTCTCTTTCGTCGATCGTCTTCATCCACCTCGTTTGTTCTGCTCAAAACAGAACAGATTGTCTTTGGGTGAAAGTAACATATAAAAGTAAAATTCAACAAAAATGCCAAAAAAATTTTTTTTTTAGTTGACTTTAGTTGACCAGTTGAACTGGTCGGGTGAATTGGTTCGACCTATTGACCCGGACCGGATGGTCAAAACGGGCCAGCCACCAGGCTGGGCCCAAAAACATTGGTTTCAACTGATGGAATTGCAGTAGACGAAGAAAAGATTAAGGCTATTAAAGAATGGCCAACACCTAAGAATGTTTCTGAGGTGTGGAGTTTTCATGGTTTGGCAAGTTTCTACCGGAGATTCATCAAGGACTTCAGTACAATTGCAGCTCCATTGACTGAAATAGTGAAAAAAAGTGTTGGATTTAAGTGGGAAAGTGAACATGAGAATGCTTTCAATTTGATTAAAGAGAATTTAATCTCTGCACCATTACTTGCTTTACCTGATTTTACTAAAACTTTTGATATTGAATGTAATGCATTAGGTATTGGCATTGGCGTTGTTTCGATGCAAGAGCGACGAACTGAGCAATAT